TGTTATGGTGAACATGGGAGTGCAGTGCTGATTTCATTTCCTTTGGATCTAATACCCAGAAGAGAGATTGAAGGGTTATATGGCAAGTCTGTTTATTTTTAGTTTTTTCAAGTCACTTCCATACTGTTTTTTGTAATGCCTATACCAGTTGTATTGCCACCAAGAATGTGCAGGGTTCTTTTTTCCCACAACTTTGCCTGTTTTGTTTTAGTTTAGGGGAGGAGTCCTTTAAGATTGTAAGTTAAAATATTTAGTACAACAGCAGATTAAGGTACTTGCTTTTAGCTTAATGTAACTTTGCTGTTTAAGATGGCTGAAGCCATCAGAGGAAGGAACTTTCAGCAGTATTCTCTAATTACAAGTTAAGTTCCTGTGTTTCTTTGCATTATGTAAGAACTGCCATGAACATTCTGGTTCTTGACACCATCTCTGCTTATTTACTCAAATCATTTCTAGGAGTGAAAAAAGTAGGTCACAAACTTTGTACAGTAGTAAGGCTCTTGTTCACATGCTTTTGATAGGTTATACCAATTCACATTGCACCAGCAGTACTGAGTGTCTCTTTTATACTCTCTCCAGAATTGGACATTATAAAACTTGTTTGGTAGGAAAAAAACCCAACAATGTCTTAATGTGTTAATTGGTATTTCTTTCATTAAAAAAGGTCAACTAGGGAGGTTGAACATTTTTCATATTTATTTTGTCACGTGTTTCTTATATAATTAGTCTCTATTCTTTGCCCATGCTTCCATTAAGGTTCTAGTATTTTTTAATTTATTTGTGTATTGACTGTCATAAGTAGGACAACTATTTTTTTCAAAATAATTTCATTTTGCTTAAATTTTTTGATATTGAGAAATCTTAATTATGTTATCAGTATTATCCTTTTTCTACATTATAAGTGGTGGAAATGTTTTCCAGATTATTTATTTTACTTTGCTTTTTAATTTCTTTAATATTCAGAAATCTTAATTATGACATCTGTTACATTTTTATTGATTTAATTTGGTTTGTACCTAAAATGTGTATCTTCACTCTGATTAGATAGACATTTACTAGTATTTTTAGCATAGTTTTTCCTATGTTTTGATTTTTTAAATGTAACTCTAATCCATCCGGGTAGTGGTATAACATGATACAGAGAAGCAAATTTAGTTTTAAATGTTTCCAATATTAAACAAGAAAAAAATGAAAGTATAATATGTTTAATTCTATGGTGATAACTTTGAAATCTAAATGAAATGAAAAGATCTGTAGCTGTACAGAATAATACAGTAGTCCCTTTAGTTTCAAGATAGAGATGACGTGAATTTACCATTACTACTGAAAAAAGTTAATAGCAACTAGCTCCAAAAACAGCTTCAGAGCCAGATATTTTAATAATGAACTCTTCCAAGTTTTAAGGACATAATTTTTATGTACTTAACACATTATTAGAAGACAGAAAATGTAAAAATTATCAAATCTAGTTTGAGCCATTTATCTGAGAAGTACAAAGATGATTTAATAGTGGGAAATACTAGTAAAATATTTCACTGAAGAAAGGCATGGTAAACATATCACAGTGGCCATTGTAGCTTCTTTTACAGAAGAAATGTGGGTACAGATTGAGCGTCCCTAATTCAAAATCTGAAATGCTCCAGAACCCAAAATGTTTAACCATTCTATTGGAGCAGTTTGGATTAGGGATACTCAACTGGTAAAGTCTGTACAAATATGACAATCTGAAAATCTCCAAAATCTGAAATACTTGTGGTCCCAAGCATTTTGGTTAAGAGATACTTACTCATTCTATATCCTGTTAACCTACAAATCTTGCTGAGTCTTTGCTTTTGTTCTGTTATTATAAAGCAGCATATACGTGAATTTCTATATTAAATCCATTTTGAGATACTTTTATCTTTTAATTTAACCCATTTATATTTTTCATAATTAGTATATTTGATCTTACCTTACGTGGTTTGGTATTTGTTTTTCTCATTTCTTTGTTTCCTACTATTAGTTTATGTGTTTGGAGACAGTTTCACTAAGTAGCCAGGCTGGCCTCAGACTTGAAACATAGCCCAGACTGGCCTTTAATTGGAGATTCTCCTGCCTCTGCCTCCCAAGTGCTGATACTATAGATGTGTACCACCATGCCTGATCTTATTTTTATTATTATTTACTTTTTGGGGTGTTTTGAAATCTGGACTCAGGGATTCATGCTTGCAAAGCAGGAGCCCTACTGTGTGAGCCACCCCCCAGTCCATTTTGCTCTGGTTATTTGGAGATGGACTTCTCTCAAACTATTTGTCCAGGCTGGCCTTGAATTTCAATTCTATCTCAGCCTCTCATGTAGTTAGGATTACAGGTGTCAGCATCTGGCAGCTGGCTTATTTTTATTTTTGAGGTGGGTCTCGCCATGTTGCTTAGGTTGGCCTTGATTTCACAGTCCTTTCTTCTCAGCCTCCAAAGTAACTGGAATCTCAGGCATGTGCCACCAAACCTGGCTCCTACTGTTGTTTTATTGTCAGTGTTATGTTTACTTTGTTTTCCTTCAGTGACTTGGTAAGGTATACATTTGCAGTTTAATTTTTATAGCGATTACCTTAATGTTGTTCAATAAAACTTTTTTAAAGCCATATTTCTAGAATAGTCACAGTTAACACTTGGAACTCTATTTTCTCCATTTGTAAGAGAGAATCTTGTATTCAGTATCACTGAATTATGCTTGTCATAGTTTATTTTGGTCTTTTTTTCCCCATTGTAATTTTAATTCTTAATTCTTTTTCATCTTGTCTGTCCTCTTAAGTTTGTATTTCAAAGAAAAGAAACTTTGTTGTCTGCTGACACCAGGTAGTTTTTTTTAACATTTTGTTCATTGTTCCTATTTTTAGGTGACTTTCCTCTTTCTGAGTGATCAGAATGCTGTCCCCTAGGAAGGTTTTTCCAAAAGACAATGAGTGTACATTGTCTACAGCCACACATCTTTCCATCTTGTGTGCCAATCAGGTCATCTTTGATTTGTAGCTGCACAATTTCGCTTTCTGTTCATTTATTTTAGAAATAACTTCTGAATTCCATCAATATGGTTTGGTGATGGTATGATGTTTGATTTCCCTCTATTTTCTAAATAAATATTTTTCTGGCAGATTGAGAAAGGCTGCATTAATATGTGCAGTCAAGATACTAGTTTAGCTTTCTTCTCCATATGTAAATTTTAAAGCTACTATGGGTCCAGAAGGAAACAAGTTCCACAAATTTGTATTGTAGTAGTAAATGCTGGATAATAAAGTTCATTACCCCGTTGCAGTATTATTTTCTTAAACCTCTCATCAAATCTAACTTGGTACTGTCCTCAAGTTTTTTAAACCTTTCTAAACTTTCTTAGCTGAATAAAATTATGTCATAAAATTATGACTTCAACAGTTGTCTTGGCCTGATAGTTTTTAGCTTATTACAAAGTTTTCATGCTGAAACAGTTTCTTACCTATTTGAAAGTAAACATTATAGCTACATCAATGATGATAGTGAAAAATCTGGTCATTTTGAACTGTTGTCCATCGTGTACTATTGTGGGATTTTTGTTTGTTTGTTTGTTTCACTGCTTAGCAGAAAAGCATTTGGTTCTTGTATTTAGAGAAAACTGAACACCTAGAACCTTTTATATGTAATGCTTCCAGTGAATATTATGAGCTTTTAGACAATCCTCCCAAAAGTGATAGAATTTCATGTATAAATAGAAATACATACATAGTAACTATAAACCTATAGATGTGGAGTATAATGAATAAAATAAGTGTTCAATTTCAGTAAGAAAGGCATATAAACCAAAGGAGATCATTGAATTACAATTTGAATTGCAAACATGTTTCTTAAGTAATTTGTAGAGTTATTGCTTAAATAAAATAGGAATTGACAATTATAAATCACATCTCGATGTAATTTCCCTTAGATTTCCAATGGGACTAGGGTTTGAACTCTGGGCTTTGCACTAGCAAAGCAGGTTCTCTACCACTTGAGCTACACCTCCAGTCCATTTTTGCTCTGGGTAATTTGGGGATGGGGTCTCAGATTATTTGCAGAGGGCTGGCCTTGAACCCTAGTCCTCTCAACCTCAGCCTCCCAAGTAGTTAGGATTGCAGACATGAGGCCACTGGTGCCTGGCTAAAAAAAACCTTAAATACACATTAGTTGGGGCAGAATCACATTTATAAGGGCTTAAGATTGTAGGCATCTTGAGGGTAAAGCTTGTAGGTTACATTGTGCAGCTGAATGTTATAGTCAAAAGAGATTTGTTTCATGAATAAGATTTTTCAGGAGAAATTTACTCTCTTCATTAGCCTGTGATGTGATTGACAGTAATACTTGTTTTAAAGGCAGTGGTCAGAATTTTGAAAACATTTTCATGTTAGCTACATCCATCATAACTAGTTTGTTCACACCCGAGGCAATTGTGCTAAATTTATTATAGTGTAGTGGGGGAGGGAGCAACTTCATTAGTTGAAGTGCAGAATATGTTGTTCACAGCTCTTTCACCTAGGGATCAGAAGTCTTCTTCCCTCTTCCTTCCTACTGTACCTATGAATCTGTGAAGTGATCCCATAGCCCTAATCTAAATGCTGTCTGTAGCTAAAACTGAGGAATCTCAGAGGATTTGCCATTTGTGTTGATCCTTCAGTTAATCATGCTAGTCCAGTATTTTCCACTGACATGTTCTCATTATGGTAAGAAATGTGTTTAGTTGGTGAGTTAGAATTATTTTGTAGCCAAGGTAATTATTAACGTTACTGAAACACTTAAACTTTATGACCTTTGGAAAGTTGCCTGAATGCTAAATTTTATTTATTTTTTGTTGTTTCAGGTTTGATATTTGCAAATTTGTTATGATTATTTGTGTTAGAACTGAGTAAAAAATGCTTGATGTGTTTACAGAACCTTTAAAAACAATTAAACTTATATGACTTATAACTAACTCCTATGTTGTGTGTGTTTATAGTAATTGATATATTTGCTTCTAGGGGCCGCCTACAGATGCTCCTGCGGTGGACACAGCTGAGCAAGTCTATATCTCTTCTTTGGCACTGTTAAAAGTAAGTAATGAATGGAATTACTTGATTTAAAGTGTTACTTTCACTGTGTTTTACTTTGGCATATTTCTTATCTTAAACACCCAGACATAAGTACTGTTTTAGTCTGTAAAATAGACTTTTATTTCCATTGAAATGAAATTAAGGTTATTTAAAAAAAGAAAAAAAATTGTGTGTGGGGGGGGGAGACCAAAGATTAGGAAATGCACTTTGTGTCACATATCTTTCTCTTTACAGATGTTAAAACATGGCCGTGCTGGAGTTCCAATGGAAGTTATGGGTCTGATGCTTGGTGAATTTGTTGATGATTACACTGTCAGAGTGATTGATGTGTTTGCTATGCCACAGTCAGGAACAGTGAGTACTTTTATAGTTGCCTGCTGCAAGTAAATGTGTTTCTTTCTTTTTTCTTTTCCTTTGCAAATGACTTTCATCATTTTATGTTTTTCTCTTTCCAATAGAAAAAATTAATCATAAGCATAATAATATAAATTTCTAGATTATATTGAATTTAATTATTAATTTTTTAAATGCACCATGAATTCTTAATAGGTCTACAAACTGAATGATGGTAACACTAAATCCCTTTACTTGTTTTTTCAGCTTTAATTAGCAAAACATACTGGATTTTAAAGTTAGTTATCCTATAAAAGAAGAGTATTAGTTTAGTTTGACTCTTATTTAAAACTTTAGTGCAACTACATTCAATAGTTCTCATGTCTTATTTCTATTATTTTGAAATACGTCCTTTTTTGATGTACTATATGTGGTGATCAGTGTCTTTTAGGCTTGTGCAATTTAAAATATTAAGTAGTAAAAACAAAGAAACTATAGCACATCTTAGTTCTTTTTGTCCAGGCATGTTAATTTGTGTATATGAGCCATATCCCCCATGGCTTTTGAAAGTTACCTACTTTACCTGTTTACAATGTATTGTTCTTTTTAGACATTTTTTGTCTTGCCTTTTTGTTTAGTGCAATAGACTTGTATAAATAAAGGTACATTTCGCTTTTAAGAAAATCATTGATTCTATTTACCTTACAAAATATATATATTTTTTCACCTGTTTGCCTAAAAACATAAAATATGTATTTTTCTGATAGATGCTACATAATACTTCTCTTACTGAGCCTTATAAAGTACCTGGTTTAAAAGTACTGTTGTCATAAAACTGAGAATCCTTACTGTGAGTTTGCTTTATAAGACTCATACTAGAGAGAAAATTATATATTTTAGTAATACTATATATACTAAACAAGCATGTAAGTAGAGTGGTTGCTGCAGAATATGACATATTTGTAAGTAATACAAAACAATTTTCTCTAGATGAGTTTGTTGAGGTAAACTAAATTGGATCTACCAATTTTTGTTTGTATGGATGTCCATTCTGTTTATTTTAATCATCTCTACATAGAGAAACACTTTATGTTGACTAAAGATTAGATTTAAATCTTAGACTGTTACTTCTATCTTTTTATATCCGAATATATGAAAATTAATAAAATCTTTTATATGTAGTCTTTATATAGTTACCCATGATAAGAAATAGTTCTTGGCCTTTAATATCATTACCTCCATGTAAATGCTTATTTGGCAATATGAAATGGAATATTTTTGGTCCCTATATTTACTCTAAGTAGTAGAACTAGAAAGTTTTTCTTGTGGCCCAAGTGTCAGCAAACTTTTCTATAAAGACATATTTCTCTTTTGCGTATTTCTTCTTTTCCCTCACTCCTCATCCTTCATCCTCTTCCCTTGACCCTGCCTCTTCCCCTTCTCTTCCTCCTTCTTCTTTTTTCTCCCTTTAAAAATTTTAGAGAGAGAGAGACAGAGTACATTCTTAGCCCAGCAGCAGATTGCATGTTCCTGTACTCAAAGGATATACTTCTTATTGGAATTCCATATACTGCTTGCTTTGGTGGGAAGGAAGTGCTTGTGATAACTGGTTTGAGAGATAACATTAATCTTTTATTCTTGCCTGTTCTAAAATTTACTTTAACTAGCAAAATAATGCTCCATTTAAGAGACTTGGTTATAGGCTGTCTCTGGTACTTTTTTTGTGGTTGCTTTATTTGTAACAATAAGTTATTTTTCTTTGAAGTGTTTACATTATTGAAAAAAAGTTCCATTATAATAACCAAATAGTTGCAGTCATTATCAATTATCAAAGAATAATGGCATTAGGAAGTATGCTTGCCTAGGTAGGTCTAACCAAAAGTCATGGTTGAATTATTTGGTATTTTGTATATATATTATATATATATAGCAATGGCCATAAACTCTTAAAAGATTTGGACTGTTATCCTAAATCATTAGTCAACAGCAGTTTGGTTCTTGGCAATTACAGAAATTCTGTTCGTGTCGGGCTTATAATGAAATGACGTAAGCAGGTATCAAATCCTATAAAATTACTTTTGTGCCCCAAAGTAATATACATAGAATTTTTTGATAAGTTTTTGTTAATTTGTATTATGTATTTATTTATTTCAAGGTTTTTATTAAAAAAAAATCTTTCTTTCTAAACTAGGGTGTCAGTGTAGAAGCAGTCGATCCAGTGTTCCAAGCCAAAATGTTAGATATGTTAAAGCAAACAGGAAGGTAAGTATTTTAAATAATCATGTTTTTAAAAAGTGGGAAATCTTTTTAAAAACATACCTTGAAGTTATGTTTATGAATATCGTTCCTAGAGGAGAAAAAAAACATGTGGTTGATATAAAAGTATCAGTGCTACACACTGCCTATTTCATGTCTGTTTCCTCCATAATGAAAGTATTCTACCAATCAGAAAACTGTGTTGTATTAAAATTCTTGATTGTCACATAGTAAGCTTAGGCTGTAGAGTCCCTCTGTTTAGCATATGGAATTACTGTTTAGTCACTTGCAGTTGAAGGAACTTGTACCTTCTATGTTTTCGAGATTTGCAATTGAGTGAGATTCTGAAAATTTAATTATGCTTATAGACAAGAGTTTTAAAGACAAAGATAGTAGAATCCAAATATTTTAAGGTTTTTTTTTTTTTTTTTCCCTCACACTAAATCTCACAGTTGTTGCCATTCTCTTGCTCAAATTCTTCTACTATGGAAAAAAACTTCAAAATTAATGTTAGCAAAAGGCTCAGCAGCTGAGCAGAACAGTGCAAATTGGTTTTTGACTGAGTTCCTAGTTCTACTGCTGGTTTAATTGATATTTAATCCTTTCACAACAGTGGATCCTGGTGTCCATTGTTAAAATGTACTCTGTTCCTGGAAAATCCAACTCCCAGAGCTAAGGAGTTAAAGAGTAGATATTTACTTGAATGCTGAAAGGGTAAAACTGGCTCTGAGAAAGTGTGGTAACAAGGTGAAAAACTGAAAGCCTTATCTACCACTGCTAATGTGCATCTCTTAATGATAGCACTCCTTTGTCACACTTACTCATTTCCATGATTTCTGGATAATATGGTGTACGATTCAGAGTTTCTAATGGTGCTTTTTCACACCTGTGTGTTTTTCATCTCTTCTTAATTTATACCCTGTTAGTGTGTTGTTTCTTTTCATATCATATATGTATTACTTGTTCTGTTCCAAGTGTCTGAATGCCCTCTTTGTTTCAGGCCTGAGATGGTTGTTGGTTGGTATCACAGTCACCCTGGCTTTGGTTGTTGGCTTTCTGGTGTGGATATCAACACTCAGCAGAGCTTTGAAGCCTTGTCGGAGAGAGCTGTGGCAGTGGTTGTGGATCCCATTCAGAGTGTAAAAGGAAAGGTAGAGTCAGTTCTGTCTTTGTTGCCATCTACTGCCACATTCTGTTTACACATATAGTAAATAAAAATCCATTTTATTTTAAGTAAGATTCTTAATTGCACAGAAAATTGCTATTTACTTAAAGAAACAAAGTATACTAGTCAATAAATATGTTTTGGTGTTATTAGTAATTCAACTATTTAGGAATTTGTTTCTAGTTTAATCACCTATTGTCATAAATGAATGTTTATCTTTAAATTTTTTTCAGCTTCATAAGTTTGAGAATGTTAAATCATACTAAAAGCCTGTTATTCACATTTTATTAATATTTTAATAAGGATTCTACCTTTTTAAATTTTTGTATGGTAAATTTGGAATTGGTACATTTTAAAAATTTTTATTTAAAAATGTTTATTCACAGACATTGTGCATGACATAGTCTGGAAATGAATATTCCACATATTTTAGACAATAAAAACTTGCCCCAAAGAATTGGTATCAACCATTCACATATTTGGAGTGAGGACACAGATGAATAATTAAATATGCTAAATGATTCTGAAAAGAGATTAACTTGCAAAGCATATTGGGTTATAGTTCTTTGTTGAAATCTCTTTTGTTCTTGTTTAGTTCCTTTTTTCGTTCTTTCGTTCGTTCTTTCTTTTTTTCTTTCTTTTTTTTTTTTTTCCTTTCTTTCTAGCCCCATATGCCATTTTCCTATTTCCTGCCTCATGACAGCAGGGAGCAGCTCTATTATCACCTTCACAGAGCTGTCTGCAAATGTGAGAGGCAATTCGATTTTGCTCAACCACAGGGAGAGTGGATTAGAAAAACTACACAACATACAGAAATTGGCTAGGTGGTTACTGCTTTAAAATACTGCTGAGGTGTCTTGTTTGAGCATGTACTTCCATTGTAGTGTAGAATAATTGTTAAAATAAAACACAATACATTTATGGAATCCTTTTTATGCAGGTTTTACAAATAATTTTAAAGTACTTAAAAATAAATATTAGGTTGATATCTATCAGACCTATAGTTTGGTCGTAGTGTAGATTACATTTACATCTGTTCACCAACTTAAAACAAACCAGACAGGGTTATTAAAACGTGGAGTTTTTAATCTCCTGAATTTGAAGTTGAATGTTTTCTGATATGTAATTATAGTACATAAAAATTGAGGTCTTCTTTAAAACATGATCCTATTAGGAGTGATTTAGCTCTTCAGAGGCAGAAACTCCACAATAACAATACTATTAGAAACTGATACACCAGACAGTTCAGAGTAGATAACTTCTGGTGCTTGTTATATGCCTGTATTTAAATTTATTTACTTTCTCTTTTGCTAAGTCTAATTGTTACTTAACTGATACAGATAAAAGGAGTTGAAAATCCTTAGTTTTTATTAGCTTTGTGAGCTAAAGTATAATATAATGCTTCTTGAGTTTAATTCCTTAATATTTAAGTACCTTTTTAGTAACATGTAATTCAATGAAGTAATTATTATTTCGGAAATATACAATTGCCCTCCCTGAAGTCACCTTCCACAATAATTTACTACTAGTAATTAAAGCTTAATTGCAAATATAATTTTAAATGGCACTTTTAATGTGAAAACCTGTATTTAAGCATTGTATAATATTGGCCTATTTCTATTATTTCTAGTTAGTTGTCATTCATGCTAAAAGAATGAATTTTATTTTAAAGTAGACTTGTACCATATGACTGTTGACAATGTTAAATCTAGTTTTTTTAATGTAACATATATAAATCATATATGTTACTAATTCTCATTACATGTTACAAAAAATATTCTTTAAAACTTTAGTAGAATTTTGTGTCATTGATTCTTATCACTTGTTATAACTAACATAGATTCATTCAATTATATTACCTGAAATAAGGGTTCAGTTCTTTGTCAGTAATGCAACTTTATCTGTATGGTGTTTTGTTGAAATTTAGGATTCTTTCAGTGTTAGGACCTCTTAGCATTATGAATCAAATACAGTGCTAGTATATCCATGGACGTGGTATTTGAGCTAAATCATTAAACTTAAGAATGTAAATTTGTAAAAATAAAGAGTAGGATAAAATTCTCCCTCTGTATGTGATTTATCAGAACTGTCAAAATATTTAGTAAATCTGTGATTAGATCCAGAGTTAAAATGGCAACATATATGTAAATGATTTAAGTTGGGTCTCTGTTCATTGTTTTTAGACCTTTTGTATTTTTTTGTATTTTCATTTTTATAAATTGCAGTATTATCTCTATTTGAGTGATTAGGTAAGCATAGATTTTTTTGTAATCTCAGTTTATTCACAATAAGTTTGAATTTCTTTTAGGATGACTTGATTGTAGTTACATCAAATAATTGCTGTGTGCCAGGTATTATAATAATAATCATTTCAACTTACTTCATTGATTTTTTATGGTAATGCTAGAGATAGGCACCATTATTATCTTTTATCAGTGAAATGAAAAATGAAAGAAAATAGGGTCAAAGAGATTACTTTGTCAAAATTAGACTATGAGGAACTAGGAGAACAAGGATATGAATACAAATCTATAAAATTTCAGCACTCAAACTTTTTTTACTTGCTTGTAATGTTACACCATTTTGAATTATATAAGCAGAGCAACTCAGGAATGGAAAATGAATACCAGATGTCATTGCAGGGTCTTTTCTCAAGTTAGTGTAGCTAGGTGTCACTCTCATCAGCATAAGTTAGGGGTAAGAGCTATACATTTTCTCTTAAATTCTCAATAGTTCTTCATATTGTTTATAGTAGATATTATATAATAATTAATTGATTTCTTTCCATATAGTATGTGTTCTATTAACTTTTTAAAACAATTTAGATTCATCCCTGTCAACTTTTATGGTACCAATAGTGCCAAAGAGTGAGAATAACATAAATGATAAGATACAGTTTATGATAAAGAATTCATATCACTCTGTATATTACACAGTGCTATAATGTTTTTAAGTGACAGAGATGAAGATATTACTATCACATTCATAACATGGAGAGTAAGCTCACAGAAATGATCAGCACACTCTACTCTAAACTAATCAGTGAAATACCTTTCAAGATTCTGTTTCAGTTTTTAGTTTATTTGTAATATACAGATATTCAAGTATTTAAAACTTGTGTCTTCAGATGGCACAGTACCAACCTCTTGTTTTAAGTTTTGTTATCATATATAGTCAATATATAGCTGGACTTGATCCAGCAGCAAGTATAGAAATTAATTCAACCTGTGCTTCTCTGTAGCAAAATGAGAGAGAGAAAAAGAGAGAGAGATTACTTTGGGCAACATCATAAAACTAACATACAACTTGGTTATGATATTTTATTTGTTTATTGAAAAGTATTATTACTTTAGAGTACTCATTTGCCTTGACAGGATCCTGTTAAGTCATAGTGTATGTTTTCTTGTTTTGAAAACATTAAAACTAATGACCACTTAGTTTGAATACATCTTCACACTGGCTGAGTTTTCTTAAAACATTTTTATTTAATCTGAGAAGTACTTAACAGACTTAAAAAGTAATGTTTATTTAATTGTAGCTCACCAGTAGGCATTTCTTATACCTGATTTGTCTGTATGGTAATTATTCTGGAGTACAAAATAAATTTAAAAATCTTGTCTTTTTAAGAAGATAATTCCTATACATTTAGTGTCATTAATGAACAAGATGGCATTCTGCCAATTATATATTGATACCATACCTTGCATACTAACACAATGCAAAATGTACTGATAACTCCTTGTTTCTATAAGTATTAAAATGGTTGCTGGGGACAGAAATAATTTAGTAAATACTTATTTAGAAGCTAGTGTGTCCCAGTGTACAATAAAGTATTAGTTTTGTAGCAAATATCATAAATGCAAATTAAATTAGAAAGTGGAAGAAACAGTATATGCTGAGCAAAGTAGGTGAAGCTAGGGCTGAGCTTCAGTTGGTGAGTAGGCAGGGCATCACTCAGAAAAGACTTGCTTATACTATGTGGAAAAATATAGAAAAAAATACCATTCTGTATGGTGCTGAACTCTTTGTTCATTCTTTCTTTCACAGATATTAGAATGTAGAATGAGAGGTGTTACTATTAATTTTTTAAATCAGCATTTTACCATAGTTGAGGCTGTGGAGAATAAATACAAATATAGGATGAATGAGTTAGGGAGTGAATGTTTTAAGAACTTACCTTTTTCCGATATCTAGAAAGTTGTGAGTTTTTCAGGGAAGGCAGCACGCATTGTCTTTTCCCACAAAATCTTATATTAGAAAGTTTTAAGATGGTGTATATAATCACTATATATATAGTGATTAGAATCTGTATGTCACATAGGAGGTGTGTAATAAAGGGCAATTTATTATTGTGAAGATGAAAAATTGATACTTGAAGGATTAAGAACTAACTTATTTTAAAAAACTATGAATATTTCTGGAAATTTTTGTTAAGAATAAGCCTATGAATTAATTTGCCCAGATTTGCTCACATTTAAGATGATGATGGTAATCACTACAAATAAAGACTTTGCTTCTTGTATTTTGTACATTGTAGCTAATTTAGGAATACTCTTCTGTCCATCCCCCTTTTTCCTTTTCTTTTTAGTTTTTTTTTTTTTTTGGTAGTGGGTTTGAACTCAGGGCCTTATGCTTGCTAGGCAGGTTCTGTACTTGAGCCACTCCACCAACCGTTGTCTCTGTTTATTTTTATTGAATGCTTTTAGTATTTTCAAGTATGTTTTCCTTGAACATGCTGATGAAGAGGAAAGTAAATGTATTGAAACTGTGACATACGAAGTGATTTATGTGTTGTGCTTAACCATTTTGTGTTTCAGTCATCTTTGTGCTGTCTTCTTCACATGATTGTGACTTCTTTGAGGGAAGAGATAGTTTCATATCTTGGAATTTACATAGTATCTGGCAAAAAGTACTTTCTTCATAAGTAAAATCAAGAAATGTATATATCAGTTACCAATTTCATTAACTTTCAGCATATAAAAGTTA